ACTATGTCTGTTTTGGTGGTGGTCATGTTGGTGGTGGTGGTGTGTGTGTGTGTGTGTGTGTGTGTGTGTGTACAATGTGGTGTATATGATGTATATGTGAATATGTGTGCGAACATGTGATTTTTATGTGTCAATAGTGTGTGTGATGATTGTGTGTTCATCTATTTGAATGATGTGTGTGTAAGTCTGTATAATGTGTCTGCGGGCATGTATTTGTATTCAGTTGTGTGAGTGAAACAATTCCTATGGCCTGGTGCATGTATGGTGTGAGATGTGGGTTCTTACACTCTACTTTGTTTGAGACAGGGTCTCTTCTTCAGCACTCTAGGTTAGCAGTCTCCAGGAGCTTCCTGGTATTGGGTTCTGTCTTTACTTCCAGTCTTGCTCTAGAACAGTGGTTCTCAACCTTCCTAATGTTGTTCCCCTTTAATATAGTTACTTATGTTGTGGTGATACCAACCACAAGATTGTTTTTATTGCTACTTCATAATTGTAATATTCATAATTTTATTATTCATAATGTAAATATCTGATATTTCTGATAGTCTTAGGAGACCCCTGTGAAAGGGTCATTTGAACCCCAAAGGGGACACAACCAGTAGGATTCTCTAGAAGAAATAGGATTGTGGAATATGCTGCCATGTCCAGCCTTACAGGAACTCTGGAAATCTGAACTCAGGACTTCCTGTTGTGTGCCAAGGGCTTTTAGACACGGGGTCATCTTCTAACTGATTGATCAATATGCTTTACTATGAATATAATATTTGTAATTCAAGAGCATTTCTGATGCTCTGCAACTAAGAGAACTGGATTCTATCACCACCAAGGATGGAGAATGCTGCTGCATTCCACCAGTGACAAGAAAGCTGCATTGCTCCAAGCAATGCGGTGCCCTTGGGTTTCACACACGCTGGCCTCTGCGAATCACATAGAAGCTGAAGCCAGCAGGAATTGCCTGTCTGTGTTTTGTATGGGCTTCCTCCAGACCCGACTTCAATAAGACTCTAATGCCTTCCATCTTCTGGAAGCACTTGTACATCTGACACTTCTTAGATGATCTTCATTCTTCTAACACTTGTGAACTTGGGTTTATTCTACTTTATACGGTTCTTCTTTAAGTTATGGAGAAATCTGAAAGAAATGGGAGCATGCACCCTCATGCACACACTCTCCACAGCCTCATTTGTAGACTAAACATTCACATATTAAAGGCATGGGAAAACTATCTCCAGGAAAGACCATCCCTAAAGGAAGGAATAGATGAGAGGAAGCCAAAGGGAAGAACTTCTTCTTGTTCCTGAAATCAAAGAAAATACATATTATGACTTAGTCAATGCATAAGATGGTTCCAGGAAAAGCTACAAAATTTTCATCTCAAGTTACTTTCCTGAAAGACAGTAATTTCACCATCCTTGAAGGTCTCGGGGTTGTAGTTCCTGATTCTAGATGTAAAACCTTCCCCTCCAGAGTCACATCTCCTCGTGGGTAGCAGAGGCATCTTACTTCATGTGTTTTCTGTTGCCTCTGTGCTGCAGAGCATCCACCAAGGGCGATATATGTACCATCATGCATCACTGCCATAGCTGTAGTGGCCACTCAAACTCAGCCTGAGAAAATCGCATCTCAAGTCTGGGGTGCATTTCACAAACTGGTTTCAAAATGATATTCCTAATACTTATATCAGAGGATAGAATTAATACCTCATCATAGATTAGGAAAAGAAGCAATATACTTTGTGAAAGTTTTGCTTTGTCTGTGAAATAGGGAGAGCATGTGACAGGCCCTGGACCCTCAGGACATTTTTTCATTATTTGGCCTCCAGAGGGCGCTGCTGCACTCACCAGCGTTCTATCTTCCATTGAAGATCTTCACCACCTGCTCACATCTTTCTTGCAGCTGGCTGAGTTTTTGCAAGGGTAAGTGGCAAGAATCAGATATACAAAACCTTCCAGGCTCATTTTGGCAGCGTTGCTGTTTTTCTCCAGCAGACCCTTCCTCACGTCTATTTTCAAGTTCTTGCTTTCTTCAGCCACTCTCCCGCCTGTCCTGTTCCAGAGATTTCTCCCACAACAGAGCTGCAGCCTTCCAGGTGTTCAGTCATGCTCCTGATGCTCCTCCCAGTTCTGGGGGTACACTTTCTCCTGAGTGAGTATATAGTGTCATTATGGTCTCCGTATCCCGGGATTAGGACTTTTCTCGGGAAATCTGCATGCACTACAGTTACTGACAGTTTTCTTTGCAGGAGACTCCAGAGCACAGTCAGTGACTCAGCCTCAAGCTCGCATCACTGTCACTGAAGAAGCCTCTCTGCAGCTGAGATGCAACTATTCCTCCAGTATGACGCCTCACCTGTTCTGGTATGTCCAGTACCCACAGCAGGGGCTCCAGCTGCTCCTCAAGTATTACTCCGGAGAACCCGTGGTTCCTGGCTTGAGAGGCTTTGAGGCTGAGTTTAGCAAGAGTGACTCTTCCTTCCACCTGAAGAAAGCCTCTGTGCACCTGAGCGATTCAGCTGTGTATTTCTGTGCTCTGAGTGCACAGTGTCTGTGGCTGCAGGGGGAGCTGAACATAAACACCCATGGCAGTAGAGCTCAACTAAAGGTCTCTCCTTGGGTCTTTGAGGGATCTCTTTCAGTTGCCTTTGCACAACTCTGTTCCTGCAACAAGATCCACTTTTATTATTTTTGTCTCAGAAGCTCTTGTTTTATTTACAAAATAATCTGATGCTCAATCATAATTCAGTAGAGTGGAGGTGACTGTTATTATCAGTGAGAATCATCACTAAGTGATTGTTTGCAGGTAAACACCAGAAGCTGTCTTCCACTTGTCATTTTATGTCTTGTCTACACAGAAAGTGAAAATTACTCTTTAGGCTTTGGTTTTCACTTTGACTTCACTACTGAGTCCTTCATACTGATTTTTCTATAAATTCTTCTTTTGGTGCTAAAAGTACTGGTCAGTTTGTCATAAAATTTTAATATTTATATTTAGGAATAATTTGGAGCATTGTTATACATTAAAGGAATTCCCCAGAACCCTGGAAGCCTAAGAGAAGGATTTGGAGATCATTGATTTTTTTTCAAAGAATCCTTCGCAATTATAAAATACTATCTTATTTTTGGCCATCTCAGCTTCTTCAAATCTACTTGAGAGTTTGTGGTATGATTCCTTCAGCATGTTTCATTACTAAAGGTTGCTTTCACATTGGTTTATATGATTTTACTACTGGAACATAAAAGATAAATTCTTTTATTCTAACATAGCAGTGCCCTGATAAAAACACAGCTGAATGTCACAAGTGGGTGTTAGGGCTAACTGCCTCCAGTATGGAATTTTAGTTCCTTCTCCCTGTACTTGGGAGAATTGTAGAAGATGTTATGCTTCTGGGTATACAAGCTAGGAGAATGACAATACTCATGATAAAAAGGAAAAAAACAGAGAATTTTCTAGCTGATACTTGGTGAAACAAAGGAAATGGGTAGGTACCATGGAGCTATGAGCATCTGAGTGTGATTTCTAGCACGCACACACACACACACACACACACACACACACACACACACACACACACAGACACACACTCTCTCTATTTATCTCACAATCCCTCTCCCTCTCTAGGCATGGTGGCTGTGTGGCGGTGTGAAGACAGACAGATCCCTAGAGCCCACTAATTAGCCACCCTAGCTTAACCATGAGCTCCAGGTATCAGAGAGAGAGAGAGAGAGAGAGAGAGAGAGAGAGAGAGAGAGAGAAAGAGAGAGAGCTTGTCTTCAATAAATAAGGTGGACAGCTCCCTAATAATGACATCTAAGGTTGACCTCTGGCTTCCACATTCATGCTCACAACTGTGTATTCAAAACACATATGCACATACACACAAGCTTGCTGGTCATAACCTGAGGAACAACATCCAAGGTTTTCATCTGGTCTCTGCATGTACACATTAACATACATGTAAATATATACACATGTACTTGTCCATGCTCCCATACACATGGACTCGTACAGACATGAGCATATTCACATACACAAGCACACATGAATATTTTGATATAGAACACAAACAGAATTTATGATGGGGGATGTCCTTCTGTGAATATATGTTTCTCTTATTGGTTGGTGAGTAAAGCTGTTTTGACCAATGGACAGGCTGGATATAGCCATAGGTAGGGTAGCAGAAGAAGTCTGGGAAGAGGAACTCAGAGAGAGAGTCAATGGAGAGATGCCATGTAGCCTCTGAAGGAGTATCAAGATGGAGCATTACAGGTAAACCACAGCTTCTTGGCAATACATAGTTTAATAGAAATTGATTAGTAATTAAGAGAGAGCAAGCCAATAAGAAGTCTGAGCCAGTGGCCAAACAGTTTATAATTAATATAAGCCTCAGCGTTTTTATTTGAGACTGAAGGTTGGTGAGACTATGCAGAGCAGAAACTCCATCTTCAAATTTATATGATGATTCTAATACCAAGTAATTTCTCTTACATATTTCTATGTTAATCTCTTCCTTTTGATTTTCTTCATAATGAAATGAGAAGGCAGTGGTATTTTATCTAAAGTCACAATACCTATGTCACCCCAGGATTTTTCAAGTGTACCTTTCAAATCAACTAATCTCCCACAGGCAATAGGTTTTCCCATTTTTGTCACTGCACAACTGGTCTGGTTGAGAACTTCAGGTCTGTAGAGTTACATGTAGAGTTTGGTGGCCTGTATGGCACTGCTTTGGCTTCTTGTTAACATGAAACATGGTGAGACTTTATGTATAGATCATGTTGTTGGCAATACAATTTCGGTCTCCTTTGTCATGGTCTCCATCTAAAATTGCAGCTAGAAACCGTGGATGAGTGTATTCTTGGTAGGCATCGCTGACTCTTTCAATGATTCTTTCAAAGTAGCCAGTAGCACACACACACACAATACTTGAGCTGCAATGATTTAACATTAACTTGTCATGTACATAATTGTATCTGTTCATGGTTTTTAGCAGTTGAGATGAGCACATGCCACAAAAATGGTTTAGAAATTGCTCCTGTAACTCAGAAGGTCCTTGACATAGGATTTACTCCTTCTCTGTAGATATCCCAATCAAACTAAGATGTGGTAGCACTATGTTACCAGCCCTAAATCTGAAAATATCTAAAGCCTTCCTATGAAACTACAGGGGAATTTGATTCATTTGCCATTGCCATTGGGTGTCTTGTATCACTTTTTGCTTCTTTTTTAAAGAAATTGTTTTTTGAAATTAAATTATAATTACTTAATTTCCCCTTTCCCTTTTTTCAAGTCAACCTCTCCTACAAAGGCACCCCCACCCCAGCAGAATACTTCTGCCATGCTGGAGGCCAAACCAGTAGTAGGAACCCCAGGTAAAGCACCACCTATTGCCCCCTAATATAATCAGCCCTGCAGTCCCCAACAGCAGCCCTCCCTAGGCTCCACATATGAGCTCAAAACTCTATCAGAAGACACCTGCACTACTAGAAAACATGCCAGTACTGTCAATCCCAGAGACCAAGCTGGTACCCAGAGCCCCAGAGGTCATACAGGCCACCAAATCCCCCACAGAAATACCCTACAGGACCTCAAGACTCACTATTCAACAGAACCACAGGCCAGCAGTGCCAGAAAACCAGAGAAAAAAGTAGCCAAAGGGAAATAACACCAAAAAGAATCCATCCATCCAAGATAAACCCATAAATTGACATGTAAGCATATAATAATCCTAATTCTGGTGACTATATGACACCACCAAAGCCCAGTTAACCTTACTATGGTAAGCCCTGGATATTCCAACACAGGTGAAACACAAGAAAATGACCTTTAACCCAATTTTATGGAGATGATAGAGGCTCTAAAAGAGGAAATGAATAAATCCCTTAAAGAAATCCAGGAAAACACAGGTGAAGGAAATGAATAAAACCATTGAAGACCTGAAAATGGAACTAGAAGCAAGAAAGAAGGCACAAGTCAAGGAAATGCTGGAAACGGAAAATTTAAGTGTTTGTTTGAAAAAAAACGACCCCCAAAGGGAGTGGTCAATATTAGGAGATGTGGCTTTGCTGGTATGGTATGTTTGTCGGTGTGTTCTTGTTGGAGGAAGTGTGTTAGTGTAGAGGAGGGTTTTGAGGGTAGTATATGCTCAAGCCATGCTCAGTGAAACAGTCTACTTGCTGTTGCCTTCTGTTTAATAGCCAGCACCATGTCTGCCTGCATGCCACTAGACTCCCTGTCATAATAATGGACTGGATCTCTGAAACTGTAAGTGAGCCACCCCAATTAAATGTTTTTTCTTTATAAGTGTTACCATGGACATAGTGTCCCTTCACAGATATAGAAACCTTAGCTAAGACATTAGGTGAGGGAACAGGAACTACAGAAGTAAGCATCACCCACAGAATACAAGAGATGGGAGAGAGACTCTAAGGCATAAAAGATACAATAGAAGAAATTGATACATCAGTCAAAGAGAATGTTAGATCCAAAAGTTCCTCGAAATCTGGGACATTATGAAAAGACCAAACCTGAGAATAATAGAAATAGAAGGAGAGAATTCCCAGCTCAAAGTCCCAGAGAATATTTTCAACAAAATCATAAAAATTCTCCCTAACCTAAAGAAGATGCTTATAAAGGTACAAGAAGCTTACCGAACACCAAAAAGATTGAAACAGAAAAGAAAGTCCTCCTGACACATAATAATCAATATACTAAACATACAGAACAAAAGAAAAAACATATTAAACTCTGCAAGGGAAAATGGCTGAGTAACATATCAAGGCAGAGCTATTAGAATTAAACACAACTTCTCAATGGAGACTGTAAAGCCAGAAGCTCCCAGACAGATGTTCTACAAGCTCTAAGAGGCCACAGATGCCAGCCCAGACTACTATACCTAGCAAAAACTTTCAATAACCATAGCTGGGGAAAAGCTATTTCACCACAAAGTCAAATGTAACTATTTCTAATCAACAAATCCACCCCATGCAGAAGGTTCTAGAAGAAAATTGCCCCCAAATGAAGGTTAACTATACCCAACAAAATACAGTAAGTAATTTCATGCTAGCAACACACACACACACACACACACACACACACACACACACACACGCACACACACAACCAAGACCACCACCACCACTAAAATAACAATAATTAACAATCATTGGTAATTAATATCTCTCAATATCAATGGACTCAATTCCTTACTAAAAACACAGGCTAACAGAATGGATGTAAAAACAGGATTCATCATTCTGCTGCATACAAGAAACGCACCTCAACATCAAAGACAGACATTAACTCAGATTAAAGGGTTTAAAAAGATTTTCAAATCAAATCAACCCACAAAGCAAGATAGTGTGGCAATTCTAATATTTAACAAAATAGACTTCCAACCAAAATTAATCAAAAGAGATGGGGAAGGACACTTCATCATCATCAAAGGAAAAATGCGAGATGACAGCTGAATTCTGAACCTCTATGCCCCAAATTATGCTTCCCTTGCTATTCCCTTCTCTAGTGCTTCTCCCCAACCACATGCTCCCTTTTGGATCTTTCTCACTTCTGTGGTTACTCCTAGTTACATATTTATATCTGAAGATATAGAGTTAGGAGCCTCTACAATCTCCACTAGAGTTAGGAGTTCAGTGGCAGAACAAGTGGCATTTGTCTTTGTGTGTCTCTGTCAACTCATTTTAAGTAATCATTTCTAGTTCTACCCATATACCTGCAAAAGTTATGATGTCATTTCTCTTTACATTGAAGAACATACAATAATGTTTAGGTGTCACATTTTTATTATCTTTTCATCAGTTGAAGAGAATTGTTTAATTAATTTTTTATTTAAAGTAAAAACAATCTTATTTTACACACCAATCCCAGTTCCCTCTCCCTCCTATCCTTCCATTCCCCCTACCATCTCCCCATCCATTCCTCAGAGAGGCTGAGGCCTCCCATGGGGGATCATCAATATCTGTCACAGCATTTGGGGCAGGACTGATGCCCTCTCCTGTGTATCTAGGCTGAGAGAGTATCCCTCCACATAGAACTGGCTCCCAAAGTCCGTTTATGCACTAAGGATAAATACTGGTTCCACTGCCAGAGGCCCCATAGATTGCCCAAGCCCCCCAACTGACACCCATGTTCAGTCTGATACAGATTTCTCCAGCTATCAGTCTGGAGTCCCTGAGCTCCCACTTGCTCAGGTCAGCTGTTTCTGTTGGTTTCCCCAGCATGGTCTTGACCCCTTTTTTCATCACCCTCCCATTCTCTATAACATGGCTCCAATAGTTTGGCTCTGTGCTTAGCTGTGAATCTCTGCTTCTGCTTCCATCAGCTACTGGATGAAGGCTCTATGATGGCGTTTAAGGCAGTCATCAATCCCATTATAGGGGAAGGGCATTTAAGGTAGCCTCTTCACTATTTCTTAGATTCTTAGTTGGGGCTATCTTTGTGCATTCCTGGGAATTTCCCTACTGCCAGGTTTCTGGTTAAGCTCATAATGGTTCCCTCTATCAAGGTATATCTTTCCTTGCTCTCCTCAGTTGAAGGATATTTAAGTTGTTTTCATTTCCTAGTTACTGTGAATAATTCAGCAATGAATATAGCTAAGCAACTATCTGTGGAATAGGATGTAGAGTTCTTTTGCTATATACCAAAAAAATGGCATAACTGAGTTGTGTGGTAAATTAGGGTTTGTTTGTTTGTTTGGTTGGTTGGTTTAAGATTCTCCACACTGATTTCCAGAGTCCCTGCATCAATTTTCACTTTTCATTTTTCCCAACAGTGAATGAAGGTTCCTTTCCTCCCACAACCTACTCTAACCTTTGTTGTCAGATGTTTTGTTGACTTTAGTTACTCTAGCTGGGATGAAGTGAAATCTCAAAGTTGTTTCAATTTGCATTTCCCTATTTGCTAAAGATGGTGAACAATTTTTAGATATTTCCTGGCTATTATTCTTTGTCAGAGAACTCCATCTAGATGGTCTTGTTCTCTGACCATCTGCATTTCCTTTACCGGGAAACGAGGGAGTGAAACTGTGGAAATGAATGGCTACAAGTCAGTTTTGTTGGTGGTGTCAGTCCACTAGGGGGCACTGCAGGAGTCCTAGAAATTGCTTTTCTTAAGTTGCCTAGAGGTTTGAGGATCAGAGGAGAGACATAAGGACACAGGGAAATCCACTCACAAAGCTAGGAGTAGGGTGATGGTGTGGAGACCACCCGGATACTTAGCTCTCAATCATTCTGTAGAAAACACAGATATCTAGAGCCTGTTTCCTGGATCCCATGTGTCTTTCAATCTACCATTTTTTGAAGGGGGGGAGGGGTAAGAAATCCACATAGCCTTATGGTCTTTTTTTTCCTTTTTTTATTTATATTATAAACAACCTTGTTTTACATGTCAATCCCAGTTCCCTCTCCCTCCCATGCTCCCCTGCCTCTCACCAACTCCCTATCCCATCTCCTTTCCGCTCCCCAGGGAGGGTGAGGGCTTCCATGGGGGAATCTTCAAAGTCTGTTACATCATTTGTAGACTCTCCCCCACGTGTCTGAACAAAATACAATCTCATTGGGCATTATGAGGATGGACACTCAAGAGAAAACATCTCCACTGTTATCTCTTTTTTAGTATTATGTTTATAGTTTCCTAAATTCAAAGAAATAGAAATTATTCTAATATTTTATATCATATATAATATGTACGTGAAATAAACACACCCACACACATATATTCTAAACTAGAAAGAAAAGGAAAAACTACTCGAGAAGAAAAAAACTGGGAGCTACAATATATGAAAGAATAGGAGGGCAGGGGGCTCACTGAACTGGAGCAGGAATTCTCAGCCTGGTTTGAACCAGCTGTGTTTTCCTGCACAGCACAGTGGGAGAGAGGTGAACAGAAGCCAAAAGATGGAAAATAAACCAGGATGGAAACAGGGGCAGGGCATGTCTTGTTTTATTGTTTTGGGTGTTTTGTTTTGTTTTGTTTTGTTTTGCAACCAACAACTGAGTTTGGAACATTGTCTATGTACTGGTCTTAATTCCAAGAGTTTCTTTTCATTCTGTACAGTGCATTGCAACTGATTTGTCAAATATTATAATTTAAGAGTCCTGCCAGGTATTTCTTGTTGAAGTGTGGGCACTTGCACAGCAGTAGATACCCAACACAGAATGAATCCAGTGGTGTTATTGTATCATACTGCTTAGAGGTTTTTTTTTTTTTTTTTTTTTTTTTTTTTTTTTTTTCTTACTGGTCTTTTGTCACTGTTTATATGTATTTTGTGTTTTCATGAGTTTCTTTGTGTGAGAGTATATTCTTTGTTATTTTAAAAAATTCTGTTCATTTGGGCTTTGTTTGTTTGCTCTTTTTTTACTTAAAGAGAGAGAAAATAGAAATACAGTGTCCCCGGGGGTCTCCATCATTGTCCTCCACAGTTGTGGAGTGATTGCCAGGCAGAGTCATGAGGTGCAAGTGGGTGGGGTTTCTTCTTCAGATGAATGAGGAAGTTGGGTGATTCAGACAGAAGCTGTTGTGTGTGAGCACAAGTGTGTCTGGGCACAAGAATTGACACCCTCACAGCTGGATAGAGACATCCCAGCAACTGGACAGGGCCATGCAGAGGAAGCTGGGAGCTGTGCTGGGGATTCTGTGGGTGCAGATTTGCTGTGAGTTGTGTTCTCCTACATTGCTTTAGGGATTCTCCAGAGAGGTCAGTGTTAGAGGGGGAAGATGCCAACCCAGAGCTCCTGTGCAGTCATCCTCATGGTGTCTCCTGGGATATTTGACAGGTGTGGGTGGAAACCCCTCACTGATTCTGGTTTGCTTTTCTGTTTCCAAGCAGGGGTGAGAGGAGTTGAGGTGGAGCAGAGTCCTTCAGCCCTGAGTCTCCACGAGGGAACCAATTCTACATTGACATGCAAGTTTTCTACAACCATGAACACTGTGCAGTGGTTCCAGCAGAATCCCAGGGGCAGCCTCATAAATCTTTTTTACATGGCTCCAGGAACAAAGGAGAATGGGAGGTTAACTGCAACATTCAATTCTAAGGAGCGCTACAGCACCCTGCACATCAGGGACGCCCAGCTGGAGGACTCAGGCACCTACCTCTGTGCTGCTGAAGCACAGTGCTCCCAGCAAGCCTGAAGCCTGGCCCTAAACTGCAGCTGGGTGTGCAGCTACAGCTCTGCCACAGGGAGACTCTTCAGGAGGCTTTTGCACAGCTGTGGCTTTATCAGATCTCCACCAATTGTGAGGAAAGGTGTGAAGAAAAAGAAAAAATACTACTGCAGTAGTTCATGTGTTTTCATCTTGTGTTTATAGAACACAGGACTCACAACAAATCAGCTCAACATGAATTCAATGAAAGAATTTAACTTTGGAGATCTAATAAATTAAGTTATATAAAGGCAAGACTAACAATTGTTAAATCAAAATACAACTTCAACAATGTCTTGATATTTATAAAATATAATACATTTGATTATGCAAAATAAATATTACACATCAGAAAATAAGAACTAAAAGACAAATGACAAACTAGAGAGATACATTTGTTATTTAAATTACAGTAAATCTTGCAATTGATTCTATCAAAATATGTACATGTCTGCAATGTGATAAACATGCAAAGCTTCTCATTAAAAGACTGCTTAAAAAAAAAAAAACTGGGGAGAGATGGCTCAGTGATTAAGTGCTGGGGCTGAAGTTCCAGAGATCCTGAGTTCAATTTCCAGCAACCACATGGTGGCTCACAGCCATCTATAATGGGATCTGACCTCTTCCAGCATGTAGGTATACATGAAGGCAGAGCACTCACATAAAAAAATAAAACAAATATTTTTTTAAAAAAACCTGGAAATCTCCTAAATGTCTCCAATTTTGGGATAATTCATTATACAATAATTAACTATGATCCAAACAACTGCTGTTTACTAAGGGTTAGCAGAATATTTTCCACAGTTGAAAATCACTGACATGCCACTTGTCTGTGTAAGGAACTGGAAAGCAGCCATGCTTGTTCATTCATAAATTGTCTTCCCAATGCATTTTCACTTTGAAACAGCAGCAGAGTGGTTACTGCTGCTGGATTGGCTAAAACATTTACTCTAGAGTTTCACAAATTAACTCATGCATTGTAATTCATTCAGCTTCATTCCCTTTAGTACTACATTTTTTCATATATAGATTATCTGAGCTTTCCAGATAATTAACAATTCTGAATTGTCATTAAAATCTATGTGAGCATGGCTAGAAGTGGTGACATTTCAGTGACAGCTTCTATAATAAGAATTACTAATTCAGTCTTCTCAGAGGGTTCACAAATGGCAACCAACATAATCCTAGCTTCTTGATAGTATGTGGTGAGGAATTAGGTGAGATTGGCATATGGTAATTAGACACAGAAAGAGGGTACTCCAAAAAGTCTTTCAAACTCATCATGATAGATCTTTTTCCTAGTCACTTCCTGATTAATCTGGACTTGAAAGTGCTTGTTTAATAAAAAAAAAAAAATGAGCTTGAGGACTATGGGTTGCAGTTTTTGAAGTTTCCTAGACAAGACATACCATAAACCTTAAAGAAAACCAATATAAATGTTATTTTCTTTTGTAAATCCTGAAAATAAAAATAAAAATCTAGGATAAATCAAAATATAAAACATGCGTTTTCTCAGTTGAGAAGTACACCTTCCATTCTTCTGTGTTTGCACTGACAGCCATCATGATTGGATCATCCTCTTCATACCAGGCTTTCAGAAGGTCTGAAAGCTCTCAAACTTGAATTGCCAATGACGATTCTCATTTAAAATCTTGTCCACAGTGGTATCTGTCTGAAGCACAATTGTTTTCATCCTGTTACAGTCATCAGTAATCTTCCCCATTTCCTGTACTGACTCTTCTAGATTTTTTTTCTCATTTCTTGGTTCTGACCTCTTATTTTCTCATTAGCTTCCATCAAAGCCTGAATTTTATCAAGATGTTGGCCACGTTCACAGTATTTATTTATTTATTTATAGGCAACTGCGATAGGTTGTCCCTGTCTTCTCCTATCCCTTAACAACATGATTCTTTTTGTGAATACACTTGTTTCTGATCATCAGTCATGCCATGACAAAGCTGTTCATTCTCTCTTCTTAATTTTTTGTTTCCATTTTCCGACTCTTCATTTCAAAGAGCCAATTGTCCATTAAATTTCTTTGTTTCAAATTATTTTTTCACATTCTTTAACTGTCTTTTTTCAAGTTGGTGAACTTCATCACATAAAAACTGAGTATCACATCCACTTGCAGACTGCAGAGCCATCTCCAGTTCCTTTGTCAATCTCATTCCTTTTATCTTTAGTTGATTTTCAAAATTTGCTTGTCCTTCTCCAGGCTGTTCAAGTTCTCCAAAGCCAGCTCTGCTTCTTGAGCTGTCACCTCCATCAGTGACTGAATAATTCTGAATAGATGTGTCATGTTTTCTTCATCTTTGTCTTTTTGCTCCTTTATTTCCATCTTCGATAAGGTGATCAATGAATTATCTGACAACTCTTGTGCAGTGATCAGTCATCTGGATCAACTTTGACTAATTCTTTCTAGTTTACATTAGGTGAACTCTTGAATTCTTTGACTGTCTTTCTCTCCTAGACCAGGCCTTGCAACAGTCATATTCCATCCCCTACAGCAGCCACCACTCCTGGTTCAGCCATGGCCAACCTCTTCCTAGAGCCATCCTCATACACTCAGGCTCCCACCACTCTTCTTGAAAAAACCATAGCACAGTGGCTGCTAGGTGACACAAGGTCTGATATTTTCATATAAATTAGAACATCTACTTTTCAACTATGTTGTGTTTTATAATAAACTAGGCAACTTTTTCTACATCTGGAGAAAGAAAACAGTTTTCTGTTTTACATCAGGTCCCACATCTCCTTCCAGATTCCATACCCACTGGCTTGTATAATCTTTCTGCTTCCTCTTCTGCCCAATTCTCTAAACGCTGAGGGCAGAGGTTTGATGGTGGCATTCCATCTAGAATTGGGTACTCAGATGAATACTCAGTAACTGGAGGAGGAGGGAGAGGACAGGCCCCTGCAAGTCGTCTATTATAGGAGATTGTACCAGGGGAACTATAATGGATGACAAGAAGGACAGTGAAGATGACCTACCTACTTTCCAAATCTATATGTACACCGAGTTACCCGTTAGACAGTGTTTGTAGCTTTTCACTGTTGAGACAAAGGAAAGGAAATGGACTAGAAAAGGGGTGGTGGGGTGCTGGGAGGGTCCACAAGGAGGAGGAAAGTTGGGTTTGTTGCAAGGTTTGGCAGATTCTCCAGGGAATTCACCACTCTCTTCTATCAGTAATTCAGTCAAGATGCCATGGGAGTGAGTGAAATGGATGGTGCCATCAAGATCAAATGACTTCTGAGAACTTTCCTAAGAGTAGTTCCGATGTGTACTTGTGATTCCAGGTCATCTTCTCTAGAAAGTAAGATGTGTGTATATAAACATCATATCTGTATTGTCAACAAGATCTCAGTGCAATGGAAAGAACATTGTCATTTTGCAACTAAAAGCCCATGAGAGACAGAAAAAAGCCTTTACTTGGGTGACATAGTTCTCAAGAACAAATGATGACCAAAATAGCTGTCTCCATGAAAAGGAGGAGTTGCTTGATGATCTGAGAAGTCTGTGATAAGGAGTGTATCAGTAAATGCAGTTCTAGACATAAGAAAACTCTCTTTTTCTCTTTCTCTCTCACACATCACATATAGACTTGTATATGAAATAATCTTTTACATATGTTAACATATAATGTATCATACATAATCTATGGTAGATTTAAAGATAGAAAACAGAATCACTACTGTGTATGAATACCATTATTGAGATCTCAGCACTAAAACACACTTGACATGACACATTGCTGATTGGTGTTTTGAGTCCCTCACAGGTCAAAGAACACTTAAGCAGAGACCTCACTGGTTAAGGAAGTAACCACAAGGTGGTAGTAGACTTCAGCTGCTGGGGAGTATGCAGAGAATTGTTTTCCTTATATGGTGGTTGTGCAGGTTTAGGACAAAGCACAGCCTTTTTCTCAGTTGCTGAGTGGATGACTCAAGAGCTATCATTGCTACTGACAAAGAACAACACCCTGGTATCTGTAGCTGACCTACTAGTCATTACAATCTATACTGGATCTTAATTTAATTGTGAAACAACAATGAAGACATATCTTCCTACTTTATTTATGTTTCTGTGGATGCAGCTGGATGGTAAGTTAAGAATTTTGGAACGCAGAATATTCAGGACATTTCTGAGACATCTAGGATGAAGTCCATTATATTCAGGTTTTCTCTAGTTTCTGTATAAAAAGGAATCCTGGATAGTGATGACCTGACAACCATTCTTGAGTTTCTCCATCTCTCTGCATAGGGCTGAGCCGAGGAGAGCAGGTGGAGCAGCTTCCTTCCACCCTGAGAGTCCAGGAGGGAGACAGTGCTGTCATCAACTGCACTTACACAGACAGTGCATCAAACTACTTCCCTTGGTACAAGCAAGGACCTGGAGAGCATCCTAAGCTTATTATTGACATTCGATCAACCATGGAAAGGAAGCAGGACCAAAGACTGACAGTTTTACAGGATAAGAAAGCCAAACACTTCTCCCTGCACATCACAGACACCCATCCTGGGGACTCTGCCATGTACTTCTGTGCTGCAAGTGCACACTGCTCCCCAGACACCTGCAGCTTTTCCTCAAATCTGCCACATGGCCTGGAGCCCCATCCACATCCTGTGTCACAGGTCTTCCAGTGCAGCCTTTGTCAGTTGTTAGTCTGCAGTTGTCAACTATAGTGTAGACATTAAAACATACACAATAAGAAAGCTAGCTTTAATTCACTCAAAATAATTTAAGAGACTTTTATCCTTCCTTTGTTTTTACAAATTATTGCAGAACTTGATAAACAATTTTGTCATTCCCTGTCCATGGTGAAGCACTGTGCTTCAGAGAGGAAGCAGCTGTAGCACACTCAGCCCCAAGTAGTATATCTTCAAAACAACCTTTCTCCCAAGGGCAGAGACCACTGAAGAAAAGGAGCAGAAAGGATGTCAGAACCATAGGTAGGAGATGAGAACAAGGAGACAGTGTTTTCTGGACA